CCAGGGAGGGATGTACTGTCAGTTGGGGGTGAGGTGGCCAGGGAGGGGTGTACTGTCATTGGGGGGTGGAGAGACCAGGGAGGCATGTACTGTCATTGGGGTTGTGAGGAGACCAGGGAGGGATGTACTGTCACTGGGGGTGAGCTGGCCAGGGAGGGATGTTCTGTCACTGGGGGGTTCTATGTTCTATTCTTAGTTCTATAATGTCATTGTAGTACTTTCAGGTGGAATACAGCTTCATAACATATCAGCTAGGGAACTACAAGTCCCAGCATGTCCTCATTACCCCTGTACAACAACTTGATATTGCCGTTCCCTGGGTGATATGTGTGTGTGTGTGGGGGGGTGTACAGGGACAATGATGGCATGCTTGGACTTGTAGTTCCTTAGCTGATATATATGTGTGGGGGTGGGGGGTACAGTGGATGTGACCAACAAAAAAACAAAGCGTACCGATTTGGCACCAAGTATCACTGAAAGGAGAACTATGGGGTACACCTTTTTTTTGCATTTTTATTTTCCTTATGATACAGGGTTACATTTTGAAATTTACTCCTGTAATCAAAAATGCACCATAAGATTAAAATTCAGTGTTATATACTGTGGCCGGGGCTAAGCTCTGTGCTGAGAAGCGATCCCAAAAATATTGTCGGGATCCTCCTCTGCCATTGAGTAACCGCAGCTTGTAGGAGATGTGATGAGCAATAAGTGTTCAGATTTATTATGCACAGAATACTAAGTATGTTCTTGTGTGCATCAGTATGTTCTGTAATAATGGTACTTATTCTTTATTAAGGAAAATATTTTGGTTACAGGGGAAAAATTCAAATGTGTGACTGATTCTGTGCAGCCATGGTTGTTGGCATTAGTTGTGAACTACAGTATGTGTTTTCTTATTAAATACATCTTTTCACTTGTATATACTTTTGTTTCCTAAGTTTCTGCTCCACTAAGAACACCAAAGTATATAACTGCTCACCCTCATGTATTGCATATTAATTTATTTCCCTTATTATACTATTGTTTACATTTAACAATAGAGGACCATTTTGTTATGTTGTAACCGAAAGAAAACCTTGAATGTCAATAATTTGTACTATACTATGTCGGAGCTCTCTGCATTTTGACGCAGAATGCATCATAGTCTGCATTAGTCAGACAAATATGTTAGTGTAATGCTAATTACTGACATTTTCACCTTGTAATCTGAAACTTAGATTCTTTTTTAACTGGTAAACTTCTATTTTTGATAACAGTGAGAGCGACAATGTTCCACTATGGGGTCTATTCACGAAGCTGCCGAGGGCAGCCGAGTGAATGACCGATCAGAAGTGAAGTGAGCCGAACACTGTTCAGCTATTCACTTCAGGCTGGTACGGCTAATTTCAGCCGTACATCGGCTGAAATCAGCCGTACATCGGCTTGCTTCGTGTGGCTTCGGGTCGCTGAAGCATGTTTGGCCGACCCGAAGTGCAGAAGGAGTTCGACTCAGCCGGTCCAACATCTGGATCGGCTGAGCCAAACCTCCGGCAGGCTTCTCACTGCTGTTCGGGCTATTCTTAAAGATCCCGAACAGCAGTGAGTGAATAGCCGAATGCCCTCAGAGGTACCGAGCAGAACAGAAAAACAGTGAAAAAAGTTTAAAAAAGTAAATAGCAAACGATTGTGCGGAGCTAGCAGTGACACCTAGCTCCGCCCAATAGTCTCCTATTGTCCGGCGGCTCTGCTGCTGTCAAAAAAAAAAGGAAAAAAAAAAA